AACGTAGTGGTGATGCCGCGCTCCTAAAGACAGCCGACACCAACTAAGTTCCTGGAGAACAACGGGATGTGCAGGCCTGTAAGGGAACCCGAGGGAACCGCCAGACAGGGAAGGGTAGTGTAGCTGCAAGAAACTACAGGACCAGAGGAGGGATCCGCAAGGGCGACAGCGGCAGGCGCAACAAGCGGAGTGAGGGCGGCGTGGTTGCGGAAGAAACAAGCTGATGCACAGGAGTCTAGAGTGAAGGACAGCGACGCCGTAGTGGCCGACGACGGAGGAGCAAGGGTAGAGCCTAGGCTAGACAAAGCAAGCTGTCCTACGCCTGACACAGCAGGGGAGTCTGGACTACACACAGGTGCTATGCCTAAGCTAGAGAACACAGAGTAATACGATCCTGAAACACTCGAAGCGTCAGCATACAGAGAATGCAAGGTAGAACTAATCTGATCCATGCCTAAGTCAAACACAAGCACACCATGGCGCAGCAGGCTGGGCAAGTCAAGGAGGTCCGGGGCGGGACCAAAGCGGCGACGGAAGAGGTCGTCGACGTGGCGGAAGCGGCGGGCGGTGGGGTGCAGGCGGCGGCACACCATGCCACGCATGGGCCTGGTCTGTAATTGGTACTGGCAGCTCACAGCCCCGAAGCTGCCGGTGGACGCCGAGCTGCGAGGGCCACCATCATGACCACCACCGCCAGGGGTTCCAGGCCACCCGGGCGGGAGACGAGCCAACGGCTGCTGCTGCTGCTGCTGTGACGGTTGCTGTTGCTGCAACGGCTGCGACTGCGGCGGCTGCGACTGCAGCAACTGCTGCTGCGACTCCAGCACCAACCCCCTCGTCGGAACCACTGTCCCCGCCACCACCACCACTAGCGCCACTTCCACGTCCTCCCTTGGAGCCATAGCGGCCCCGGCGCTGGCGCTGCTGCGGGTAAGCCGCAGTTGTTGTCTCAGGTGCAGGCGCAGTCGTGGCAACTGTGGCGGAGACGTCAGCGTACGTGCACTCGGAGGGGGCACAGCCCTGAAAGATAGGGACTGTCGCAACACCGCTCGACTGAGAGATAGTGCGCTGGCGAGTCTCTATCTCAGACAGAGTAGTGACAAAGGCGGTCAGGGTGAGGTCGGCAGGGTGCTCATTAAGGAAGTGGTCGCGAGCAGTGGCTAAGCGGTCAGGCAGGCGCATGGCGATGAGGTACAGGGTAGCGCAGAAAGGTGGGGGGAAGGCAGTAAGATGGGCGGCAGAGCCAGCAGCGCGGTAACTGGTCTCTAGTGCACGGAGGTGGGTAGCGAGGTCAGCTACCGGGGGGAAAGCAGAAAGATCAAGAAAGAGCATGGGTAGGATCAAGTGGCCAGCAGAGGCGGAAGCAGGTATGGAGTAACGCTCAACTACTGCACCTAGAAAGTCCTTGGCGTTCGCGACAGCGGTAAAGCGCGGACGCTCAGACAGGGGGAGGGCATGGCTAATGGCAAGCTGGGCTACTGCGTCGCGTGAATCCCAGACAGCTCGAGCAAGTGCAGCAGCAGCAAAAGCCTCGCTCTCAGCAGTGGTAGGGTCAGCAGGGAGGGGATCAGGCGCAGGGGGGCGGGGAAGCAAACCATCAATATGCATAGCTAGGGAGTGCCCATCCTGGCGCTGACCTGTCAGGTGCCGACGGAGGTCGACGAGCCAGGCCGCGTCTCGGCGACGTGGGTGCCCGGCGGCTCGGGGACACGGCGGCTCGGCGGCTCAGGCGACGAGGCCGGCTAGGGCGCTAGGGGCCGGCTAGGGCACAAGGGGCCGGCTAGGGCGAGCGGGGCCAGCAAGGGCGCGTGGGGCCAGCTAGGGACGCGGGGGGGGCGGTAGGAGCACGAGGGGCCATAGGGGCACGAGGGGCCGGCTAGGGGCGCGACGGGGCCGGCTAGGGGTGCGACGGGGCCGGCTAGGGGCACGAGGGGCCGGTAGGGGCGCGACGGGGCCGTTGTGGTGCGCGGGGCCGGCTAGGGGCGCAAGGGGCCGGTAGAGGCGCGACTGGGCCGGCTAGGGGCGCGACAGGGCCGTAGGAGCGCGACGGGTCCGGTAGGGGCGCGACGGGGCCGGCTAGGGGTGCGACGGGGCCGTAGGGGCGCGACAGGGCCGTAGGGGCGCGACGGGGCCATAGGGGCGCGGCGGGGCCTGCTAGGGGCGCGACGGGGCCGTAGGGGCGCGCGGGGCCAGCTAGGGGCGCGAGGGTCCAGTAGGTGGCGGCATGGGGCGGAAGCGGGTGGGTGGACCTACCTACTCGTGATACCATGTTAAGACTAGAAAGAATGAATAGAAGAAGGGAGAACAAGGGAGATATAGCGTTTGGGTTGTACCCACTACGAAGATACCCTATCAGGTCTATAACTTCTACGTAACAATATATGTATAAGTTGACAGTATTTGCTAGGGGCATCCACCACGTAGCCATCGACACAAACCAGAAGGAATTTGGAAGGGAGAGGGAAGATGGGAGAGTGAGGCGAAGCACGGTCGGCTCAAATTGTGTAGGGAGCTTCACGAAACACGTGTAGTCTACAAGTCTAAAGTTAAGGCAGCTTAGGGGGCCGGTAGTCTTAGAGGGCTCTCACCTGTGTACCAAGGAACCTGTCAGTGACGCCCGCCTCCTCAGTACCCTTAGGGCCTATTCTTGGGGTCGAGGATCAGGATCGGCATTGCCTGATCCCGGGCTCTGATCCTGCTGTTTTGCGTCATGTAGATCAGCATCATAGGGGTCTGTTGCAAAGTGCTGCAACATGTGCATGGCACGCGATGCTGTGTGACCTGAAGTTCACGCTGCGTCGAATTCAAGCGAGCATCATGAGCGGTTACAAAACTTTTGGCAACCCACACACGTGCCCGACTCGCAACCCGTCAACAAGGGATAGCTATCCACTCACGCACATGGCCCATTTCAGTGCCCGTCGCTCGCTTCAGCACAAGGCTTCGCTCCACACTTGTGCGACTCCACGCGGCAGCTGTCAAAATTGCATAAACCCTTTATCGAGCGACCTTATACCAATGTCTAATCAGCAGATACATGTGCGACTTGACGTGGCTACAAGCCCAAGCTGATCCTGGTGTTCCAGGTTGTTCGCCGAGATCAGCCCCGATTTCAGCAATGCTGATCCTGGTCCTGGGCCCCATACTCAGGAGAGAGGCTGTCGCAGTCGAGTCCCCGGCAGAGCGCAAAGAAGGTAGTTTCGTTGGAAAAGTGCCTCTTCCAATGCAAGATTTTCCTCAATCACAATTGATTTACGGCACTCACCATTGTACCAGAGAACCAGTCACTGAAATCCACCTCCTCCTTCCCCTTATACTCAGGGGAGACGTTGTCGTAGTTGAGCCCCGGGTTGAGTGCGAAGAAGGTGTTTCATTGAAAGAGTGCGTCTCTATGATGCTCTCGCAGTAGTCTCCTCCTATCATCGAGTACCACTGTGTGCACATGGGCAGGTCCGCCCCGTTGCCCTTTGGGATGCAAAGCTGCTGTGGGAGCAAGGAATAAGGGGGGAGAGAAGGGAGTGGACAAACAGAGTGCGCCTCTATTTATGTACGCGCAGAATTCCCTCCCATCATACCGAGTATCACTGTGTGACACACAGCTGCTCGTGGGGGAAGGGAATAAGGGGGCAGAAAAATGAGTGTCAGGAAGCGAATAAGGGGGGAAGGGAAAGGACTGGAGTACACGTGGGCGATTATATGATGATGGTTGGTTGGAAGCTCTGTGCCAGACTGATGGTGTCCTGCCAGTCTAAAGAACGCGAGTCTAATTTCTTCCACGTCCGTAACTGCAAGTTGATCCGCACTCCCAAACGCCTCAGCCGGACCCAGTGCTAACCTGCTGGTACTCGCGCGGAGGAGTGCCTGCAGAGGTGTCAAGGCATCGGATCCCAGGATTCAGCAACACCAACTGGCCTACGGTGAGGCCCTCAACTCCTGACCTCCCCTTCACAGCCAAGCCTCCTATCATGGCACCAACCTGCTGGTTCTTGCGCCAATGGGTGCCCGCAGAGGTCTCAAGGCATCGGATTCCAGGGTTCAGCAGCACCAGCTGGCACATGGTGAGGCTGAAGACACCCGCCACGCAGGGCCCAAAATATCCGGGTAGAATACCCTGTTTATTCTGATTTTCAGAGTACTTTTCTGAGTTACGCTGATTTTTCAGGGTTTGCGATGTTATAATCCTGGTTAAAAAGTGTAGCAAATGTTTGCGACCCTCCAGCCCTGATGAAACAGGGCAGCAAGGCAACTACCCTTAAAGCGCTGTCTGGCCAGCCAAAATCAGCGCCAGATGCGTGATAGAAGCTGGGTGAGGGTGCTAGCTAAGAGCGTATTCCTACGCTATGGTGTTCAGTACCAGAATGGGGAATCCCATACTTGAACACCGTGCTGTATTTGCCGATTTACAGGACGGTGTTCAGTACCAGGAAAGCGTGGTTCGCAAGCATGGGCACGGCAACCAAACGTGCGAAACGGAGTGACAAGCGGCATGCATGCGACGCGTGTGGTTCTGTTTGTGAACGTGACTGTACCACACAGCCAGTTACTGGGCTTGTGTGCGAACATGCAGGTTGGTGTTGTTGGTACTGGACTCGGTAAATTTTGTCGATCACGGTGTTCAGAAACCCATTTTCCTTTTCTGGTACTAAACACCATTCCGTAGGAATACGCCCTAACTGGCCCTTAGTGGTGGAAGCTATGCGAGGGCACTGACTGGCCCTAAGCCAAAATCAGCGCTCGGTGTGTACTGGGGGCTGTGTGAGGGAAGGTGCTGATTGGCCCTTAGCCAAATTTCCTCCCAACTTTGCTGGAGGAGGTGTGAGGGGACCGAATGTACTTTCAAATGTTTCTGCCGATGTGTGCTGGAGAATGTGTGTGAGAGCGTTCATTGGTCCTTCACCAACTTTGCCACCCACTAAAATTCCTTACCCGCCCTTGCACCTTTCATTCACCCGCCCCTCCAATGCCGCCCCCCACACACAAGTCGCTTGAGTCGCAATCGCAAGCACTGTACATCAAACGTGTCGCCCTGTACATTTCATCAAGCCATCAACATACGGTAATCCAAGCCCCTGTCCATCCGAAGTTCAACATAGGTAAGACTACGAGAGTTAGGTGCGCTGTGTGTCAGGGTGTTTTGGTGGGGCGACCCTGTTTTCAAAGGGCGGCCCAAAACCAATTTTTGGCCCTGTTCACTAAGCGGATGTTCACCAAAACGCAGGGAGGACGAAGACCCAAACTTTGCACTGTAATTAAGAAAAATGTGGACAGCTATTGTGCAAAATGAAGGTAACCCTCATTTATTCAGCCAGCATTGGACCTTTGCTTCGCTTTACTCTGTCGTCTTTGGCTGCTGGAAGGGCAACTCGGGTTGTGGCCAAAGATTTCGTCCACAAGCCTCACTTCTTTGCGCTCAAAGAACCAGTCTGCTACTGCCTGAGCCATGGACTGCGCAACAGAGGCACAAGAATTGCAGAACGTGAGTGATTGGAATCGAAGCAACATTGGAACAAACTGAAACAAACTTGAACCAACTTAGATTCTGAAAAGGAGCTGTGACGAGACACCGGAGGAGAAACAGTCAAATCAGTGTACGGGAAAAATGTTGGTGAACAAGTGGAAGAAACAACCAGCGTAGGACCCACGGGGAACGAGAAAGGCAGATAACTTACTTGGTCGGATAGCAACGGCCCTTGTAGTCCGTGCCATGACGCCCAGAGAGCCTGAGGGCAGCCAGAGAAAGGTACAAGTGAAGGGGGAGAGGGTGAGTCGCAGGGGAATGGGGTCAATGGGGGGGAGAGCGGGGGAATAATGCAGCACCAACCAACCAGCCAACCCACCAACCAGTCTTACTACTGTCACGTGTGCATGCGACATACCACGGTGTGCATGCGACATACCACGGTGTGCATGCGACATACCACGGTGTGCATGCGACATACCATGGTGTGCATGCGACATACCATGGTGTGCATGCGACATACCATGGTGTGCATGCGACATACCATGGTGTGCATGCGACATACCATGGTGTGCATGCGACATACCATGGTGTGCATGCGACATACCATGGTGTGCATGTGACATACCATGGTGTGCATGCGACATACCATGGTGTGCATGTGGCACGAGGCGAGGAAGAAGCCATGCGGGCATCGCTTCACTGAACCCAGCCTTCCCTGTTCACCAGATAACGCCTCCTTTCCTCCTCTTACTCCTTCTCCGCCTTGTATCCATCCCTTTAACCCTCTGCTGCCGCTGCCCGGCTCTTGCCCTGCCTGCTCCAAGCCTGGCTCCTGCCCTGCCTGCCGCAGGCTCGGCACCGAAGCAGAGACCCGAGCCTGCATGAGAGGCTGGAGCTTCTTCACCATTTCGGCTCGGTACGCTGGGGCATGGGGAGAAGGGTTGTGAGGAGGTGGTTGTGGGGAGAAGGGTTGTGAGGAGGTGGTTGTGGGGAGAAGGGTTGTGAGGAGGTGGTTGTGGGGAGAAGGTTTGTGAGGAAGTGGTTGTGGGGAGCAGGGTTGTGAGGAGGTGGTTGTGGGGAGAAGGGTTGTAGAGAGGTTGTTATGGGGAGAAGGGTTGTGAGATTGGGGCATGAAACCATTTCCTTGAAGACACGGCAATAAGGTCCTTCATCATCCCTGCCTCCCCTACCCCTACCCCAACGTAAGTTTTCAGAAAGAAGAAGTCTTGGTGTTGAAACATGAATAATTGATGACGAGAAAACAGAATGTGAATTTCCATTCCACTCGCTCATGTTTGGGCCTTTCTTACCTACCCTAGCTTCTCCGAACACTTACTGTGGAACTTTCTGAGCAGATTCCAGGGGCAATCCGCCAGAGACCACCGACATTGGTCCCAGTCTTTAGAGTGAAAGGACGCCGGCACCGCAAATGAATAGTTCATCTGAGAAGTGGGAAGGGTGGGAAAATGGGGTGTGTGAAAGGGTGGGAAAATGGGGTGTGTGGAAGGGTGGGAAATGGGGGGTTTGGAAGGGTGGAAAAATGGGGGGTTTGGAAGGGTTGGGATATAAAGTGATTGAAATGGCTGGAAATCTTTGACTTTGCAGGGTGTCCTTGAGAACTCTAAAAAACACCCCAGCGGTATAAAGTGTTTGAAATGGTTGGAAATTGAGGCATTTGGCAATCCCTGTGTGACAAGTCAGTCACCAGCCCTTCAAACCAGATGATGCCTCCACCGCAAACTGTTAAGTCGACTCAAAAGTCAGCTCCTTCAAATAAAAATGATGCCTCCACCGCAAACTGTTAAGTCGACTCAAAAGTCAGCTACTTCAAATAAAAATGATGCCTCCACCGCAAACAGAAATGCGCAAGTGAAGAGGGAAGTGAGCGGAAGTTGGTGCTCTTAGAGTGTGGAAAGGGGAGGAAAGGGGTTGGGCTAATCAGCAATGAGGGCCTATGAAGAGCACGGAGCGAGGGCTCACCTGCCTGCCAGGAGTCGTAGAGCCCTCTACTAAAGGATGCTGCCGATGAGCATCAGAGTCTGCAGCAGAGGCAGGGAGACCTGCTGAGGCGCAGCGCCTATTTTTTAGGCGCCTCAAAAATAGACCTGCCTGCCGAGAGCCGTGGAGCCCTCGACTAAAGGTTGTTGCTGCCGATGAGCAACAGAGTGTGCAGCAGAGGCAGGGAGACCTGCTGATATAAGGTTTGTTTTGAGAGGACTCAAAACAAACCTTATATCGCGAGGAGCGAGGGCTCGCCTGCCTGCCTACCACTAAAGGGTGCTGCCGGTGAACAGCAGAGGGTGCAGCAGAGGCAGGGAGACCTGCTGAGGCGCCTCAACGAAAGCGTGGGGGCTACCCAAACAGGAGGGCGTACCGGAGGGGAGGGCTTACCTGCCAGGAGTCATAGAGGGTGTTGCCGATAAAGAGTGGAGTGTCCAGCAGAGGGAGGAAGTACTCGGGGAAAAAGCACTGCCCAGGAGAGAGCAATAGGTGCGAGCAGTGGGGGAAGGAGGACGGGGGGGGGGGGGGGGCGGAGAGGAATAGGGGAAGAGAAGAAGACCATTTGAAAGGGGCTTATCGTGGATAAACCAGCAGTCGAGAAAAAGAAAAGGAGCATTCTCAACCGTTCAGAGCTTACGGTGGGAGAGCATGCAATATGCCTTATCAATAGAACATCAACACGACATCAATACAGCCTGTACTTATCGATATGACCTCAAAACGACATCAATACGACATCCATATGACATATCAATACGACTTATGATTGGGACAGCCAGCTTGCCTCCCATCTCTCTGCTGTCCGGTTCTTGAGGTGCTCCAAGCAGCCCTGATGCACCGACCCATTCTATCATTCATATGAGCGACAGGAGCAATCGAACGATTCAGCCTGCCTTGCTAGCATACCACCCCTCTGGGGTTCTCTAAGTCCAGCCAATTACCACTTGCCTTCCATCTCTCTGCTGTTTGGTTCTTGAGGTGCTCCAAGCAGCCCTGATGCACCGACACATTCTGAGAGAGGACGGATGAAAACATTCAAATGTGGAGGAAGAGAGGGGAGGGAGGGGGAATCATGAGTCGGCGCAAAAGTCGCCTCTGCTCCACGCAAGCAACCCAGATGCACCGACACAATATGAGAGGTGAGGGATGGGAGGGGACATTCAATGTGGAGGGTAATACCAATCTACCGGAACACGGAAATGTGAAATAACTTGAGAGTCAGATCAGGAGCAAAGGCGCGTCGAACACACTCACCACCTGTAGGCTGTAGCCCCACCCATTCACATGTAACCTGACCACTGCTGAAACGGGCTTCCTCGTCTCATGCTGCCTTTCCCCATGCACTTCGTGTGACCTTACCTATCCTGCACAGATTGCAGGCCCTCTCACCTGCCTACCTGCAGTCTGACCGCTGCTGAGAAGAGCTTCCGTATCTCATGCTGCCCTCCCACGTCCTTGGCGTCCAGAAATATGCCGCCATCCCCCATGCACTTCACTAGACATAACCTATAGCACATAGGTAACCCATGCTACACATAGTCGCTTCACCAATATCTAGACCAGCTGTAGCCTGATGTACCTGTAATCTGACTACAGCTGAAAAGAGCTTTCTCATCTCATGCTGCCCTCCCACGTCCTTGATGTCCAGAAAAAAGCTGCCATCCCCCATGCACTTGACCAGACCTAACCTGTAGCACCCACAGGTCGTTACTTCACGAGTAGTCCCATGTAGCCCAACAAGCGGTAGCCCCATGTACCTGTAATCTGACTACAGCTGAAAAGAGCTTCCTCATCTCGTGCTGCCCTCCCACGTCCTTGGTGTCCAGAAATATGCCGCCATCCCCCATGCACTTGACCACCGGTGGTGAAAACGAGGAGGGAGAGGATAATGAGGAGGAGGGCGATGGGGAGGAAGCAGCACCACCACCACTAGCAGCGCCATCAGCAGCAGCAGCAGCAGCATCAGAAGGGGAGGTGACTGGTTGAGATTCCTGCAGCATTGTCTTGGCAAACCAGTCGCAGTGCAGGAAGGCTGCCAGCGCACCAGCCGAGCCTCCCCCAAACAGGACATGCGATGCCGCCCGCAGGTTGTGGTGCTGCAGGAGATGGTTCACAACGGCCAGCATGATGTGGCTGCCTCTGAAGAAGATGAACGTGCTGTTCTGGCCCTGTATACATGCACGGAAGGATGGGAGGAAGGGTGCGGGAAGGGGGAAAAGCGAGGGGTGTTAGCTTCCCCTATTGGAGGTGCAGCAGCTCAAAAGCATGCCTGCAGCAGATGGTTGACAGCAGCAGGCATGAATCATGATGTGGCGCCCTCCTATTACGATGAACGTGCTATTGCTACCTGGGGAAAGGCGAGAGAGTGGGCGGGAGTGAGGGAGTTGTCTTTTCTTATGAGAGGTGTAATGCTGCCGCAGGCATGGTGTGGGCAGAGTGTCTGCAAAGATGAATCTGCTGTTTTGAGACCCGGCACACATGCAATGCACAGACAGATGGATGGGAGGAAGGTTGGTGGGGGGAGGGGGCACGACAGCAGGTACTACGATGTGGCGGCCTCTGAAGAAGATGGTCGTGCTGTTTTGGCCCTGCTGCTGGGGTGGGTGGAGTGGAAGTGAGGGATATAAGGGAATTCTTATGAGGTGTATTGCCGCAGTGCAGTGCATGCAGGCATGATGTGGCGGCCTTTGAAGAAGATGATCGTGCTGTCTTGGCCCTGGAGAAAGGCATAAGGGTACGGAAGGATGGGAGAAGGCGCGGGAGAGAGAATAGACAGTTTTTGAGGCGCCTCAAAACTTTTGACTTTTTTTTAGGCGCCTCAAAAGTCTTTTTTTGAGGCGTCTCAAAAGTCTTTCTTTGAGGCGCCTCAAAAGGAAGGATGGGAGAAGGCGCGGGAGAGAGAATGGACGGTTTTCTGATGGAGGTGCCTTGCTGCAGCAACCACAACAACAGGCATGGTGTCGGGTTAGTGGTGGGAGAAATGTTGGGCACACACACACTCTCGCACACACACACACACACACACAAACACACACGCGCGCACACACGCACACACACACTCTCGCACACACAAACACACACACACGCGCGCGCGCACACACGCACACACACACACACACACACACACACACACACACACACACACACACACACACACCCACACCACACACGCCTACGCGCACAACCACCCACACCACACCTGCCCACCCACCGGCACTTTAATTGGAGAGTTCTTGTTTCCTGAAAACGAGGCGCCGTCACAGTAGCGCACCACCACACGGTTCCAACTGAAGAACTCTATAAAGGGGACAACCGCACACATGCCACGGGGAAGGAGCACGAGTAGCCAGTCAAGGGGGTTTGCATATAGGGGATGGCCGGGGATGGACGGAGGATTGGTTAGAAAAAGGGCCGGCCTGGGTAATGGAAGGGATTGGATAGGGGTGCGCATGGATGTGCGCATGGATGTGCGCATGGATGTGCGCATGGATGTGCACATGGATGTGTCATGGATGTGCACATGGATGTGCGCATGGATGTGCGCATGGATGTGCGCATGGATGTGCACATGGATGTGCGCATGGATGTGTCATGGATGTGTCATGGATGTGCACATGGATGTGCACATGGATGTGTCATGGATGTGCGCATGGATGTGCGCATGGGAAACAAACAAGCTCATCTGGATTGATGACGTGTCTCAAAAGGGACACATGTTGGAGGGAAGGCTGGGTTGGGGGAGGGAAGGGTAGAGGACAAGGCCGGGCTGGGATGGAAATGAGGGTGGTTCACTCTAGGTAGTTGCTTATAAGCAGGCAACAAAAAACGCCTCCTCACTGGAGTGAGGGGTTTGGTGATATCAGGGTCAGGAGTCCCATCAGGGTTGATCGTCAAATCAAGAGTCTCACCGGGGTTGATCTCAGGGTCAGGAGACAGAATGCCGATGAACTTGTATGGCTGCATCTGATTGGAGGAGCCAAGCTTGGTCAGTGAGCGATTGTGGCAATCCTGAATAGAATCGCACCAGGCACCGCCCTGGCATGAGCGGGAGTGGGAGGGCGGGAGGGAGGGAGGGAGGGAGGGAGGGAGGGAGGGAGGGAGGGAGGGAGGGAGGGAGGGAGGGAGGGAGGGAGGGAGGGAGGGAGGGAGGGAGGGAGGGAGGGAGGAGAGGGAGGGAGGGAGGGAGGAGAGGGAGGAGAGGGAGCAGAGCAGGCAAATGACTTGTGAGTCGACTCAAAAGCCATCGCAGCAAGCCGCCGCCCCGCCATGTGCAAGAGTGGGAGAGAGCGGACAGATCGGTCGCACTGGCCCTTAAAAGCGCGCGGTCTAGGTTTCCCAAGTGTTCAACAATAGAGGCAGAAAGTGGGGGCTGATTGGAGAGCGAGTGGAGAGAGGGGAACACAGCATCGCCAAAGCAGACGAAAGCCCACACATTCGCCCAACCCAACCCCTGCGTGAGAAGTCTGCGGGGGAAAGAAGGTGACAAACCAAACCACCAAACCCCCCCTTCAGCCTCGGCACCATTTCCTGACAAGCAAGCAGCGCCCGTCTTAGGGAAATTGCTCCGCAAACCGCGAAATCCTTGCATTGCGAAACAGTTATCAGTCCCGCGCGAAAAAAAAAAAAAAAAAAAAAAAAAAAAAAAAAAAAAAAAAAAAAAAAAAAAAAAAAACTTACTACGGCGAGCTATGTTACCAGCATTGTTTGCCCAACGTTGAGATTGTCGCAAGGTCGACCAAACGAAACCCTCCAAACCAAAGCCGTTCCTGAACCTCCCACACGTCCTTCAAAACCTTCCAAACCTACCAAAACTAGCAAACCTTTCCAACCAATCGAACAGTCACAAAACCTCCCAAGCGTCCTTCAAAACCTACCAAAACTACCAAACCTCCCCAACCAATCGAACCGTGCCAAGCCAAACTTTCCAAGCCTCCGACAAACATCCCAAACCTTCAGCCCAAACTCCAAAACCTTCAGCCAAACTTCCAAACCTTTCCAACCTCCCAAGCCTTTTCTTGTATCAGCCCAGCGTGCTCTAGCCTTTCGTCTTCTCCGTTGAGGTTACCGGTTTCCAATTGTTGAGCAGATGCTGCGTTTTGGGGAAACCTAGACCGCACACTTTAAGATCATGCGAGAACCGTCTCGATGCGGTGAGATGGCTCGTGCTGTTTAAGGGCCTAGGGAGACTCCTGCATCCCCTCAGATGTACCCAAAAGCATGGATGGGATGAGGTACGGCCACGTGGCAACGCCTAAGCGTTGTATAGTAGCTAACTGTCCAAAACCATTGGAAGAAGCAAGAAGTCAAGTAGGGAACTTAGTAGTACCCTTCTGTCTGATAACAACGCAAGGGTCAGTGCATCTGACTGATAATGGCAGCAAGAGACGGAGCGCCTAAGATGGCGGCATTTAAATGACCCGTACCTCCAGGAAGATGACCCACTTGCTGGCGCCGTCGCCTGTGCCCGCCTGGAAGTGGAATCCGGGCGGTGAGCCGTCCAAGCACACTGTGACACGAGGCATGGGGGCGGAGACATGAAAGTTGATCAGCGACGCTAAGCAGCCATGACAACGAGAGGAGGAAAGCACTGTGAGGGGGTGACTCATGATACCTTACCCTTCCCCTGATGGCATACATACCTTACCGTTGCCCACGCAACCCCTCCCCACAATCACCATACTTTACCAAACTACGACACAGCCGTCCATATCCCGATTAATTCCCATCCTCACCCGCTAAGCCGCCAAGCGTGTCGTTGACGATCGTCACGGGGATCTTCGGCCCCGGTATAGGCACCGGCTTATAATGAGTCGATCCGGAGAAGGGGAAGCTGCTGGCGAGGTCGTCGCGACGCGTGGAGGAGACGAGCATCCAGATGAACGGGAACGCGACGGCCAGAGTGATCTGACGGCTGAACGGCCGGATTCGCGACACGGCTAATCGAATGGCGGGAGATATCGCGACCATAATTGCGAACTATTCGAGTCGGCTCCTAAAGTTGGCAATTAGGCTTGACTTAAGTCAATGGCATCTGTGACCGTGACGAGTAATAAGTTAGAGCGGCCATTACAGCGTCACGGGAACGTCAGAAGAATCATGAAAGTAATTGCTAACCGACGTTAGTCCCTTGCTGACGTTAGTCCCTGACGTTAGGATTCGACCATGCGAAAGGACAGCTGGTTTTATTCCAACGGCAATTCACGTCTCTCGCCGTGAATTGCGGCCAGCCACCACTGGCTTTCAGGGTTCTCCTCCATCGCGCTACGGCCAATCAGCGTCCCGCCATTTTCCGATTCTCTTCAGGTTTCAGCCCAGCAACACTAAAGTCTAGAGACGAAAACTGGTGGTGTAAGAGTAAACCAGGCAGGTGAAAGCCTTGGTTTTCAGGTAGCCCGAGGTTCCCGAAGTCCAATGGTTTTGAGCAGTTAGCTACTATAAAACTGCTGTGCGAGGAAGGCTGCGCAGCAGGTAGCCTTGGAAGCAGCTCTGTCAGAGTGTGGGTCATTTCTGTCCATAGGGAGTTTTGTCCAGATGGTGGAATGCAAGTGGCAGTGCGGTTGTGTACGGTTTTATGTCCTAGGGGTTGTCGGTGATCAGGAGAGGCTGGTGGGTGCTGGAGGTTGGTTGGGGTGGCGAAGTGGTTACGTGAGACTGCGACAAACAATCGTCTTGTTCGTAGATGTACATGAGTGGCCTTAATTGGTTCGCGAGCAATGCTTCTCTCGGATTGGCCCAAGAAGAATGTGGAACATCCAAAATCCATGTTGTTCCCCAAATGTGGTGTCGTCCATATCGCGTACGGAACGAAGCCTGGATGGTCGCAAGCTAAGATGATCACAGGATCCATGAAGCTACTAGTCTCTTTTCTGGTCTAAACTTACACTCTCCGCCTGTTTGGCCTGGTCGCTCGCCCTGTTTCTTCTGATCCCGTAAATCCTGGTCTCGTCAAGCACCCTATGGTTCGCCTAGTACGCGCTGACCCCATTCGCCTCGTCCGTTCAGCAGCCATGCTGCTCTAATGTGCTAACCAGTTCCGTAGTGGCGGTCCATCTCTCGATTTTTTGTCGAGCCATTTCCAGCCTGATCGAATTCAACGGCTTCCTGATTCCACATTGACAGCTGTAGTGTGCTCATGTTGAAGGAGTGCTTATTTTGATGGTGATATACTGATTACGCAATTATTCCATTCATTATGGAGCCAGCTGCCTCTGCTGCCGCCTCTGCTGCCGCGTCTGCTCCAGTAAGCCACCCCTCCCTCCTCGTCAACCCACCCAGACTTCCTCTTTCTGTCAAATTCTCTTATCTGCTACTAGGTGCACTAGCAACGTCGCGAATCTCGATCCCTCTCGCGCTCGACTGCACGTTCCATTTCCAAGGCATTTCTGATACCACCACCCTGCCCGGATACCACTACCCTGCCCGGATACCACTACCCTGCCCGGATGCCACCACCCTGCCCGGAAACCACTACCCTGCCCGGATACCACCACCCTGCCCGGATACCACTACCCTGCCCGGATACCACTACCCTGCCCGGATACCACTACCCTGCCCGGATACCACCACACTGCCCGGAAACCACTACCCTGCCCGGATACCACCACCCTGCCCGGATACCACTACCCTGCCCGGATACCACTACTCTGCCCGGATACCACCACCCTGCCCGGATACCACCACCCTGCCCTGATACCACCACCCTGCCCGGATACCACCACCCTGCGCTGCGTCCCTCTCTCCTCCCCCCCCGCCCCCTCTGCAGCGGCGCTACCTGCTGACTGTGGAGTATATCGGGAGTGCTTTTAGCGGATGGCAGAAGCAGCCGCTGGGAAACAACCCGCTGCCTTCAGTGCAGGGGGTGCTCGAGGTGCGAGGGGGGAGGGGGGCTAGGATGTGAATAGAGGGGAATGTTGTGACGTTGGGTTGCATGTGACAGGATTGCACCCGCTGGGGAACAGCCCGATGCCTTCCGTGCAGGTGGCGCTCGAGGTGCGAAGGGGGGGGGGGCGGGGGGGGGGGGGGGGTGATGTGGAGGGAGGAGAGAGGGGAGGGGAGGGGGGGGGTGATTAGAGGGGAAGACGTTGGGCTGCATGTGACAGGATTGCAGCCGCTGGGGAACAACCCGCTGCCTTCCGTGCAGGGGGCGCTCGAGGTGCGAGGGAATGGGGATGGTATGGGGAGGAAATAGGGGTTCGTGTGAAGCAGACGGAACGACAGGTATCATTCCCCCCTGCTTTCAGTGCAAGGGGCACTGAAACGAGGTGCGAGGGAAGTGGGATGATGAGGGGGGAGGAAGTAGGAGTTTGTGAGCCATAGCCTAACAGAACAGCCGGCTGCCATCAGTGCAGGGGGCTCTGAGGTGTGAGGGAAAAGGAGACGTTTGAAACGAGGCTGGAGTGTGAGCGAAGCCAACGCTAGCTGTAAGTTGCATGGTTGAGATGACGAGCATGTCGGCAGCATGCACGCACTGCTTCTCGTGTTTTTCTTTACAAATCAAATTAATGTTCGCGTGGACTCGTTTCCTTTCGACTTTTGCTCTCAGGACGCAATAGGGAAGCTGGTGGGTTCTGTTCCTGCAAGCAAGCAGAAGAGGCAGCGAGGCGGACGACCGCAGCCTGGCGCAACACAGGGCGCTGCAGCCCATGGGGATGACATGGATACAAATCGAAAGTCGCAAGCATCGCAAGCATTGAAAACATCGGAAGGCCATCAAGGGGAGAAACTGGCACCCCAAGCTCTGACCACGGAATCCGCTGACACTCAACAGCCTGCTCTTCCTCTTCCTCAGATCGCTGGCTCCAGCAGAACAGTTACGTACGACTGCTTACGCCCTCCAAGGCCCGTACGCATTAACAACAGACTCAATAGTTCTCTCTTGTATGTCCCGTGTTCTCTTTTTCTCTTGTATCATCTGTGCTCGCGCTGTTTTTGCATCTCCTGCGCTCGCGTGCTGCTGTATCATCTGTGCTGCTGTGTCATCTGTGCTGCTGTGTCATATGCGCTGCTGTATCATCTGTACTGCTGTATCATCTGTGCTGCTGTATCATCTGTGCTGCTGTGTCATCTGTGCTGCTGTATCATCTGTGCTGCTGTGTCATCTCTGCTGCTGCTCGTCTGTACTGCTGTATCATCTGTGCTGCTGCATCATCTGTGCCGCTGTGTCATCTGTACTGCTGTATCATCTGTACTGCTGTATCATCTGTGCTGCTGTGGACCAATCAGGATGCAGGAGTGCATGCGCTGGGCAACACGTGCCACGTGGACATCCACCGAGTGAGCCGCCGCAACCCAGAGAAGCAGGTTGGTGGGTGGAAGGGTGTGTGAAAGGGTGTGTGAAAGGGTGTGTGAAAGGGTGCGTGAAGGGGTGTGTGAAAGGGTGGGTGAAAGGGTGTGTGAAAGGGTGTGTGAAAGGGTGGGTGAAAGGGTGTGTGAAAGGGAGAGGGAGGGGCGTGTGCCTAGGATGTTGGTCGTTGGCACTTGCTCTCACGCACATGCTAACGCACTCATGCGCCCACGCGAGCTTGCACATATTCTCAGCCTTGCACACGGACACACACACACACACACACACACACACACACACACACACACACACGTGCGCGCGCACACACACACACTCTTTTGTTCACATGGACGCATGGTTGAAGGCCTTTCAAACGCCCAACAGCTTACTCCCCACTCACTCATGCTCCTTCCACCCTTCGTCTCCTTCCACCCTTCGTCTCCTTCCACCACCAGATGCCACCCTTCTTACCGCGCGAGCTATCACGAGCGATCAACCATTTCCTGCAGGTAACACCACCACGTGATAAGAGTCTAGTTTTGAGGTGCACAAGCTATCACGAGCGAGCGATCAACCATTTCCTGCAGGTAACACCACCAACCATGTGTATCCAACACCGGTTACCAACCATTCGTGTGCCTAGAAGGCGTTGAGATATTAAGCAGTGCCTGGCATGGTAGTGCGAGAATTCAGAAAAACGGAGAGATGTTAACCAGTCCATGGTGTCAATTCTCGTTCTTTGCTTCACTCGTGTTTTCTTTCCTTCTCCTCTTCCTCCGTCGCTTTTTCCTTTCCGTACTTCCCTTTGTCCCCTTCCGCGCACCCTCCCCCTCCCTCACTCTGTCCCCTTCCATGCAGCTGTCAGGCGCAGAGGCGTCAGTGGTGGCGGCTAGGGAGGTGCCTCTCTCCTTTAGTGCCAGAGCCCCCACTTCCCTGTTGATCTTCCTTCCTCGCTCGCCCCCTCTTTGCCACACACTCTCAGCTGCTTGGCGTAGAGGCGTCAGTGGTGGTGGCTAGGGAGGTGCCGCACTCCTTGCTTGGCCAGCCACCCCTTCTCGCCCTCCCTCCCCGTCCTCCATCTCCTCCACCTCCCCCTCCCTCACTCTGTCCCCTTCCATGCAGCTGTCAGGCGCAGAGGCGTCAGTGGTGGCGGCTAGGGAGGTGCCTCTCTCCTTCCATGCCCGATTTCAAGCGACAGAGAGAACGTGCGTGGCAGGGGTTCAGGTGGGTAGGGCTGCAGGAGACGGTTCAGTCAGGTGGCCATGTGGTAGTTTTGGAAGGCGGTTAGGGTGCCCTTGTGTTGTGTGGGGCCTTCTGGTGTAGCAGCTTTCTTGCCTCGATATTGCTGCTCTGGATCGTCGCCCTCAAACTTACACCAAGGTGACTTTTGAGTCGACTCAAAAGTCATCTGGTGGCGTTCTTGCTTCCATATTGCTGCTCTGGATCGGTGCCCTCAAGCCGAGGCTCACAGCAATAGTGCCTCATCCTGCCCGCATGATCTCTTCTCTCTCTCCTCCTCCATTGTTCCCTCAGCGCCCTTTTGTTCTCACTCTGCCTTCTCCCACTCCGTCTCCCCTCTCCGCCCCTTCACCCTTCTTCCTTCTCCCTTCTCCCTTCTCCTTATGTGTCTTGCCCCCCCAGCTATCTGTACTTCATACATGCATCTTCCTCCGCCTCCCCATCCATCTCCAACCACAATCGAGTGTGGCGCGTGCCCTCTCTTCTCCATCTCACTTACTAATACTCCTGAGCCTACCTGCCACTCTCCCTCTGTCCCTTCCGTCCAGCTATCTATACCGCATCCACGCGTCTCCTTCCACCTCTCCGTCCATCTTTGACCGCAACCGCGTGTGGCACGTACCCACCAGTCTTGACATCAATGCCATGCGCGCAGCAGCAGCTGCCCTCTGTGGCTTCCACGACTTCTCCTCCTTCAGAGCATCAGGCTGTCAGGTGGGCTTCAGGTGCCACGATGAGATGGGATGGCACGTACCATCCCATCTTGACATCAATGACATGCGCGCTGCGGCCGATGCCCTCTGTGCCTTCCACGACTTTTCCGCTTTTAGAGCTGTCGGGCTTCGAGGTGCGCTCCTGGGCCTCCTTCCTTTCCCCATTTCGCTCACCCTTCCTATCCTGTCCCCTCCCCCCTTCCTATCCTGCCCCTCCCCCCTTCCTATCCTGCCCCTCCCCCCTTCCTATCCTGTCCCCTCCCCCCTTCCCACCCATACCCCTGCTACTCCTCCCTCCAGGCTCGCTCCCCTCTGCGCACTCTGACCGAACTTTCCATTTTCGAGGTGCCGTCCTAGGCCTCCTTGCTTCCCCCTTCCGCTCACCCTTCCTGCCCTGCCCCCTACCCCCCTCCCCCCTCCCCCCTCCCTCTCCCTCACACTCCACCTACTCCTCCCTCCAGGCTCGCTCCCCTCTCCGCCCCTCTCCTCCCCTCCAGGCTCGCTCCCCTCTCCGCCCCTCTCCTCCCCTCCAGGCTCGCTCCCCTCTCCGCCCCTCTCCTCCCCTCCAGGCTCGCTCCCCTCTCCGCCCCTCTCCTCCCCTCCAGGCTCGCTCCCCTCTCCGCCCCTCTCCTCCCCTCCAGGCTCGCTCCCCTCTCCGCCCCTCTCCTCCCCTCCAGGCTCGCTCCCCTCTCCGCCCCTCTCCTCCCCTCCAGGCTCGCTCCCCAATCCGCACTGAGCGAGCTTTCCATTTTCGAGGTGCCCACCTGGACCTGCGCCTGCCTTCCCCAGTCCTCTCACCCTTCCTGTCCTGCGCCCTTTCCCTTGCCCCTCCCCTCCCCGCTCCTCCCTCCAGGCTCGCTCCCCTCTGCGCACTCTGACCGAACTTTCCATTTTCGAGGTGCCTTCCTGGATCTCCTGCCTGCCCCCTTCCTCCCACCCCTCCTCAACCACCTGGCAAGGACACGAGGAGACGGTGGGAGGGTCAGAAGCACGCGAAGGGGAAGAGGAGGAGGAGAATGGGAGTGGGGAAAGGAAACAAAGAGGAGGTGAAGCAGGCGGTGGGGTTGTGGGAAGGGAGACGGAGACTGCAGCAGCAGCTAGTGAGGGGGAGGCAAGTGATGGGAAACGAGGCAGGGAAGAGGAAGGAATGGGAGCAGAAGGGGAGGATGAGGGATCGAGTGGCAAGAGGAGGCGCGAGGAGGAGGGAGGAGAAGAGGAAGAGATGGCGGAGACAGGAGAAGCGCGAACAGAGGAGAGGGAAGGGAGAGAAGGGAGGGAAGGGAGGGAAGGAGGTCAGATGCTGGTGGTGCGCGCGCGTGCCCCATCGTTCCTGTACCACCAGGTGCGGCTTCTGCTGGGGCTGCTGCTGCTGGGGCTGCTGCTGCTGGGTCTGCTGCTGGGGCTGCTGGTGGCTGGAAGCTCTTTCGAGTTTACTCACTTGCATGACAAACTGAACCGCGTGCCCCATCATTCCTGTATGTGCCACCAGGTGCGCCTGCTGCTGGGGCTGCTGCTGCTGGGACTGCTGGTGGCTGGAAGCTCTTTCGAGTTTACTCACTATCATTGCAACTGCTGGTTGCAAGCCTCACTGTTTTCTTACTGACCCCCCCGTGCCCCATCGTTCCTGTACCACCAGGTGCGGCTGCTGGTGGGGCTGCTCAAGGCCGTTGGCGCGGGGGCACTGCAGCCAGACAAAGGTGAGATCAGAGGAGGGGGTGGGGGAGGGCAGGCAGTTGGGGGGTGAGTGCCTCTTATGTCCAGGCCACCAGGTGCGGCTGCTGGTCGGGCTGCTCAAAGCCGTGGGTGCGGGGGCAACCCAGCCGGACACAGGTGAGAGGAGCGCCTGGGTGACAGACAGGGGGTTGGAGGAGAAGGTGGGGGGGGGGGGGGGGGGGGGTAGTTAGTATCACCAGGTGCGCCTGCTGGTGGGGCTGCTGATGGGGCTGCTGGTGGGGCTGATCAAGGCCATCGGTGCGGGGGCAACCCAGCCGGACACAGGTGAGAGAAGAGGCGGGGATTGGGAGGGCGGAGGAGGGGGGGAGTAGGTGCCTCTCGTGTCTGTACCACCAGGTGCGGTTGCTGGTGGGGCTGCTGGTGGGGCTGCTGGTGGGGCTGCTGGTGGGGCTGCTGGTGGGGCTGCTGGTGGGACTGCTGGTGGGGCTGCTCAAGGCTGTCAACGTGGGGGCAGTCCCCGCAGACAGAGGTGAGAGAGACTCTTGGGAGGGGTAGAGAGGGGGGATTGGGGGTGGGGAAGGGGAAGAGGGGGGGGGGGGGAAGGGGAGGAGGAGGAGTTGATCTAGATGAGTGCACCCTTGCTCTCTTTCCTCTCTTTTTTAATATTTGGCTCAAAATCAGTCGTATGCACTTTGTCCCTTGCTGCACTTTGTTCTTACCAAGCGTATGTGCCACTGCTGAGGAACCCTTACCACTCCATAATGTTCTCTCTGCCTCCCCTCCCTGCAGTGAAATCAATCCTTGAGGCGAGGGATATTCGGGGGGTCCCTCCCATGGCTCCTGCCTGCGGCCTCTACCTGGCTAGAGTTGCCTACGGCCCACGAGGACCAAAACGGCCTCGCAGCGATACAGTTTCCTAAGGTGTGAAACGGAGGGTGCCAAAAGGGGCCAGGAGGTGGCTAAAGGCTCCAAATTGAGTCCCTCCCATCGCTCCTGCCTGTGGCCTCTACCTGGCAAGGGTTGCCTACAGCCCTCGAAGGCCATAATGGGCTCGCAGCTGTGAAGTGCTGGATTGACAACTAGGCCGAAAACAAACGCTGTTCTGTGTAAATTGAATGTGAGCTGTAGGTTATTTCGATTTCACGCCGAGATAAGATCCGTCCACTTTCCATTTACGGCACAGGTGCCTGTGCCAGTGCATGCATGGCCATGCCATATGAGGATGGGATGTGGTGTGCTGTGCTGTGCTGTGCTGTGATGCGATGCGATGTGATGTGATGTGGTGACATGACGTGACGTGACGTGACGTGACGTGGACGTGACGTGACGTGGACGTGACGTGGCGTGGACGTGACGGGACGCGACGGGACGTGACGTGACGTGGACGTGACGTGACATGACGTGACGTGACGTAACGTGGACGTGGCGTGACGTGACGTGACGTGACATGATGTGATGTGAGCAGGATGTGCATTGGCTTCTGCGCTGGCTCAAAAGCTGATGTGCGCACGGCTGTCTTCTGAGGATGAGAGCACAGTCTGCAATGTGCATTCTGCCAGCCAGCGTTGAAGTTGCAAGGCAGCCTAAGGTTAGGTGGTACCATTCCGTCCCACAGCTTCCCAAACCCCAGTGGCCAAGGGACTGCTGCTGGCAAGAGTTATTATTAGCAAACATATGTACACTTGGAGAAGTAACCCGTTTCTGTAGTATCTCAGCCCAACAGGAGTCAATTTGCCTATGCAACATACTCCAGCACCTCAACATATCCGACAAAGTTCACACGTTTTGGTTTAGTGCGTCTCTTGGGTGAGCCTGAGCCCTCTTCAGCGGGGCTACTAGTAGGGATGGTGCTGCAAGGCGCAGTGAGACACATAGCAATGCTGTGCCTCACCATTGGTAGCTTGACACTTTGGCATTCCCCAGTCACCACCACCACTCTGTTAGGACTGCTGCCTGCACTGCTGCTACCGCCGCTGCTGCTGTTGCAAAAAGCCACCAGGGAACGGGGAGAGGAAGCAGTGCTGCTGGGGCTTCCACTGTCTCCACCACCCTCGCTTCCGCTCATGGCCCTCCGCCCCGGCACAAGAAACGGCACGCTCCCATCTGCCGCTGCCCTCATTTCCTCGCATGTCGTTGTCGTTGAGAGTGGGTTAGCCATGGCATATGTGCAAGGAAGCTCTGGTGCTGCAAGACATGCTTTCCGCGATGCTTTCTGCAATGCTGCCCGTGATGCCTTTTGTGATGCTACCATTTGTGAAGTGACCATCTGTGAGCCAAGCTCAGCTTGAGTTGCCAGCCTGGTTCGAACCACAGCCACTGGGGTGGAATAAGCCTCAGTCCTGGCAAACACCCTTGGCGACGTCCCATCAGCATGCTGCTTCCTTGCACTTTTATCTTCCCAAGAGTAAAATGAGCCCCCAGGTCCTGCCTTCCTGCGTCCTGCCCTCCCAAGGCCTGACCTCCCGGGTCCTGAGCTGTCAAACATGTATTATTGATCATGTTTGTATAGACTGTATAGGGTAACCTCCTAGAGGGTACAACATTCAGGTATATGTGCATGTACTCTCTAACTCTATCATTCATTAAAATTCTAGTTTTGAGATGGTATCACGCGTAGGTTTCGACCCCCCCCCCCCCCCCCCCCACCTACCGCTTCCGCTCCTCCCGTCGCGTCTCCTAGCCTAGCCTCGCCCCTCCTGAGCCCAGTCGCGACTCCCCCCCTAGCCCCGTTGCGCTCCTCTCAGGCCCCGTCGCGCCCCCCTCCAGGGCTTCGTAGCGCCCCTCCAGGCCCGTCGCGCCCCTTCCAGGGCTTCGTAGCGCCCCTCCAGGCCCCGTCGCGCCCCTTCCAGGGCTTCGTAGCGCCCCTCCAGGCCCCGTCGCGCCCCTTCCAGGGCTTCGTAGCGCCCCTCCAGGCCCCGTCGCGCCCCTTCCAGGGCTTCGTAGCGCCCCTCCAGGCCCCGTCGCGCCCCCCTCCAGGGCTTCGTAGCGCCCCTCCAGGCCCCGTCGCGCCCCTTCCAGGGCTTCGTAGCGCCCCTCCAGGCCCCGTCGCGCCCCTTCCAGGGCTTCGTAGCGCCCCTCCAGGCCCCGTCGCACCCCTTCCAGGGCTTCGTAGCGCCCCTCCTGGGCTTGGTAGCGCCCCTCCCGGGCCCCCCGTCGCGCCCCTCCCTGGGCCCCGTCGCGCCCCTCCTGGGCCCCGTCACACCTGCTCGGCCCCGTCGCCCCAGCTCGGCCCCGTCCCAGCCGCTCGGCCCCGTGGCGCCCGCCCGGCCCCTGTTGCACCCGACCGGCCCCGTCACGCCCGCCCGGACCCGTCGCCCTCGCCCGGCCCTGCTGTGTCCTGCCCGGCCCCGTCGCAGCCGCCCGGCCTCGTCACTGCCGCCTGGCCCCGTCGCAGCCGCCCGGCCCCGTCGCAGCCGCCCGGCCCCGTCGCAGCCGCCCGGCCCCGTCGCAGCCGCCCGGCCCCGTCGCAGCCGCCCGGCCCCGTCACAGCCGCCCGGCCCCGCTGCAGCCGCCCGGCCCCGTCGCAGCCGCCCGGCCCCTCGTCGCGCCTGCCCGGCCCCGTCGCGCCTGCCCGGCCCCGTCGCGCCTGCCCGGCCCCGTCGAGCCTGCCCCGGCCCTACATACTTCCTGGTACTGTCCCTCGTTCCCCGCACCGCTTTGCACCCTCCTGCACTTCCCTGCCCCGCCCTGCACCGCATTGCACCTCACTGGACCGCACTGCACCGCACTGCACCGCACTGCACCGCACTGCACCGCACTGGACCGCACTGCCCTGCACTGCATCGCACTGCACCGCACTGGACCGCACTGCACCGCACTGCATCGCACTGCACCGCACTGCACCGCCAGGGCACTGCACTGCGCAGCACTACACCGCACTCCACCGTCCTACACTGCCCCTAATGGCTGCTGAGCTTCGTTTTGATGCTGAGGGTCAGCCTCTGGAGTTCGAGGCGTGGTTGGCTGACCTTCGCCGCCACCTCACTGGTCAGCGGCAGGACGGCCACCCGCTTTCTGCCCACCTAGACGGTATGCTCCCCTGCCCTGACCCCCCTGCTGTGCTGCCCGCTGATCCCACGCCCGCTGAGCGCGAGTCCACTGCCGCCGCTGCCCTTGCCCGCTCTGTCTGGCTTTCCCGTGATGCCCTTGCTCAGCTCGCCATTAGCAATGCCCTCCCCCCCCCTGAGCGCCCTCGCTTTCGAACCATTACTACCGCCCAGGCCTACCTCGATGCTGTCATCAAGCGCTATTCTACCCCTCCTGCTGCCTCAGTGGGTCGCCTGATCCTCCCCCTGCTCTTTCCTGACCTTGCGTCTTTCCCCACTGTCTCTAACCTTGCTGCCCACCTGCGCTCGATAGATGAGACCTGGCGCGCTGCCTGCACTGATGCACAGCTTAGAGTCCATCAGCCTCCCATGACCTCTAACCTCTACCTCCTTGCCACCCGCCTCCCTGACCGCCTTGCCGCCGCCCGCGACCAGTTCCTTAGCATCCACCCCGCTGCGCTCACCCTCACCGACTTTGTTGACACCCTGACTGTTATAGAGACTCGTCACCGCTCCATCGCACAGGCGAGCGGTACAGTACCGGTCCCTATCTTTCAGGGTTGTGCCCCCGCTCAGTGTACCTTCTCCGACGGCTCTGTTGCTGTGGCTGAGACTGCTGCTGCAGTGCAGTCCCGCTCGGGGAAGGGCCGCCGCCCCAAGGTTGGGAGCGGCGGAGGCGGCGGGGGTGCGGGTGGGGGTGGTGGTGGAGTCGGGTCGTCCGGTGCCGGTGCGGACGTGGGGACCCTGCCCAGTCCAGCTGCCCCGCTGCCTCCACAGTCGCAGCAGCAGCAGCAGCAGCAGTCGCCGCAGCCGCAGCAGCCGCAGCAGCCGCCGCAGACGAGGCAGGCGAGTGCTCTCCCGCCTGGGTGGCCTGGAGCTGGTGGTGGTCGTGCGCGTGGTGGTGCGCCGGGTGGCGGTTCTGGAGGCGGGCGCTGTCAGTACCAGATCCAGACCGGTCCTCGCCGCGGCTTCGTTTGCGGTAAGATCGGCCATTCCACTCCTTGCTGTTTCCGTCGTCTGGACGACCTGTTCCGTCAGCGCTTTGGCCCGGCGCCCGACCTCCCGGACTGGCACAGCTTGCTTAGGCGTAGCATTCAGATTTTTGACTTGGACATGGATGCCATTGTAGCCGCCTTGCATGTGATGTATGCTGATGACTCTAGTGTGCTTCCCTCTTATTACCCTGTGTTGCCTAGTGTAGATGTGCCTAGCGTAGACTCCCCTGCTGCGTCAGGCGTAGGATCTCCTGCTTTGCTTAGCCTCGGTGCTTCCACCGCTTCACTGCCGCCTCGCGTGACTGCTGCGCTTTCCTTCACCTTGGACTCTGGCGCCTCCCGGTGTTTCTTCCGCGACTCCACGACGCTGACGCCGCTGCCTGTTCCCGCTGCAGTTACTCTTGCTGACCCCTCCGGTGGTCCCGTCGTTGCCCGCAGTTCCACCTCCCTTCCCTGTCCGGCGGTTCCTTCAGGTTTGCTCACAGGTCTGCATATCCCCTCGTTCTCCAGAAACCTAGTTGGTGTCGGCTGCCTCCAGGACCTTGGCGTCACCACTACGTTCCCTGGTAACGAGCGGTATGCTGTCTGTACTGAGGCCGCCACTGGTGCCCCCCTTACCACTTTCCCCCGGGACCCGGTGTCCGGCCTGTTCACACTTGACACCGCGACTTCTCCGGCTGGGTCTTCCCCCCAGGTCGCTGCGTCCACCCAGGTTGCTGCTGCGTGCTCCTGTCGGTCCCTCACTCACCCGACTCTCCTTTGGCACCACCGCCTTGGTCACCCTGCACTCCCGCGTCTGCGTCACATGTCCCAGCACGGTCTCGTCCTTGGTCTCCCCGGTTCGTTCCCCGAGTTTCCCTCCTCCCCCGCCCCCCCGTGCACGCCTTGTGTCGAGGGCCGGCTCCGCCGTGCCCCTCACTCCTCCTCGTTTCCCCCTACCACCGCACCACTGCAGACTCTGCACATGGACGTCTGGGGCCCCGCCCCGGTCCATGGGCCGCGTCGCGAGCGCTTCTTCCTAGTGCTTGTCGACGACTTCACGCGCTACACCACTGTCTTTCCCCTGGAGCGGAAGGCCGACGTGCCTGACGCTCTCATCCCCTGGCTTGTCTCTGCTCGCGTCCACCGCGGTCTCCCAGCCTTGCGCCTCCACTCCGACCGGGATGGCGAGTTTGCCTCAGGTGTCCTTGGTCGCTTCTGTCGTGCAAAGGGCATCACCCAGACGTTTACCCTGCCGGACTCCCCGCAGCAGAATGGGGTCGCTGAGCGACGCATCGGTTTGGTCATGGAGGTGGCTCGCACCTCCATGATCCACGCCGGTGCACCCCATTTTCTGTGGCCGTTCGCCGTGCGCTACGCCGCTCACCAGCTTAACCTGTGGCCGCACCCCCAGCGGCCGCCGGTTTCGCCGACCCTTCTGTGGACCGGGTCCCCTGGTGACGCGTCTGCGTTCCACGTCTGGGGCTGCCTTGCTCACGTTCGTGCCTCTGGCACGGACAAGCTCACTGCCCGCACCCTCCCCTGCGTCTTCCTCGGTTTCCCCCTTGACGCGTCCGACTGGCACTTCTACCACCCGCCGTCTCACCGCTTCTTTCACTCTCGCGACGTCACCTTTGACGAGTCCGTCTCCTTCTACCGCCGCTTCCCCCACCGTGGTCCCCCGGTTACTCCCCCCCTGTTCCTGGTCACTCCTTCCCCGGTGGTCCCTGCCCCTCCCCCCCCCCGCCCCCCCGTCCGGCCCCCTCTGGTGTGTCTCACGTCACCCCCTCCCGTCGGTCGTCCCGGTCGACGAGTCTTCTGACTCTGGTAGTCCTCCGGCGCAGTCCTCGCCGTCTGTCCCTCCCCCAGTGTCTCCTCCTCCACCGCCTCCGCAGCCGTCGTCACCGCAGCTGCTGCAGCCGTCGTCTCCACCGCCGCCGCCGTTGCAGCCGTCCTCTCCGCCGCCACCGCCGTCGCGGCCGTCGCTGCCGCTGTTTGTGGACTCTGGGGGTGCTGGCGTTGAGGTGGGTCCTAGTCCCGGGGCTCCTGTCGTGGCTTGTTCCGGGGGTGGTACCGGTGCTGGCGGGGTTTCGGGCTCTGGGGGTGTCCCTTCTGGGGGTGCCGGTGTGGAGGGTTCGGGAGGTAGCCGTCGCGCAGGTTGTGGCCCTGGCGTTGGTGTTGTGTCGCTGCAGCAGCAGTCCCCGCCAGTGTCTGCCCTCCGTCTGCTCGGCCTTCCGTCCCCTGACCCTGCGCCTGTTCCTCACCTGCCGTCTCCTCCTCTTCCCATCTACGGCCCCGTGTTCCCTCCGCCGGACTCGTCCCCGGCTCGTTTTCCCCCTCGTTCCCCACCAGTGTCCCCTCCTCTGTCTCCTGACCCGACGCCTCCCTCTCACGTCTGGTCTCGCCGCCCCTCCCGTGCTCGTCCTGTCTCCCCCGTCCCGCGCTCTCACCCTATGTTGCTCCGGTCCCACGCGTCTCGTCCTCCCCTCCTCCCGTCTCCTCCTCCGTCCTCTCTTGTCGTTGCGTCTCCTCCTCTGTCTGACTACTTTCGTGCCGCTCGTCCTCTTGTTCCTCGGGTCCTTGCCTCTCTCGTTACCGACCCGTCTGTTCCCGTGTCGAGTCTGGACGCCCTTCTCGCTGCGGTCACTGACTTCGCCTCTACCCGCCGCCTTGACTACGCTACCGCTCTGGTCTCTGACCCTGCCTGTCCTCCGTCTGTCGGGGGTGCTCCTGCCCTCGGCAGTGACGTCCTGGAGGACCGCCAGTTTGAGCTTGCTTTCCTGTCCGAGGCTGCTCCCCATCTCTGTTCCATGCTACTAGTCCCTGAGGGTGACCCAGACGCTTTCGACATCCCGACCCCTCGTACTTACGCTGAGGCGGTTTCGGGACCCTGGGCCTCTCAGTGGATAGCTGCCATGGAACAGGAGATGGCATCTTGGAGATCCACCGGCACCTTCGTCGACGCAGTTCCCCCACCTGGGGTGAACGTGGTCGATGGCCGTTGGCTCTTCAAGGTGAAGCGCCCTCCTGGAGAGCCGCCTGTGTTCAAGGCGCGCTACGTGGCTAGAGGCTTCAGTCAGCGCGAGGGGGTGGACTTCTTTCAGACTTTCGCTCCTACACCGAAGATGACTACTCTTCGGGTTCTGTTACACGTAGCGGCTCAGCGTGACTACGAGCTTCACTCCCTCGACTTCTCCACTGCCTTCCTTCAGGGCAGCCTTCACGAGCAGGTCTACCTGCGTCGTCCTCAGGGCTTTACTGGCACTTTCCCCCTTGGGACCCAGTGGCTTCTGCGGCGCCCAGTCTACGGCCTGCGCCAGGCGCCTCGTGAGTGGCACGACACGATGCGTGCTACCCTTGCTGACCTGCAGTTCTTTCCGTCCTCTGCTGACCCCTCGCTCTTCGTTCGTGCTGGCCCGACTCCGTTCTACATCCTCGTCTACGTAGACGACCTGGTCTTTGCCACAGCTGACAGGGACGCACTGGCCTCCGTGAAGGCAGAGCTGCTGAAGAGACACACCTGCACTGACCTTGGAGAGCTGCGCCGTTACCTTGGCTTGCAGATCTCCAGGGACAGAGCCGCGCGCACCATCACCCTGACTCAGTCACACTTGGTGCGTCAGGTCCTTCAGAGGTTCGGCCTTCAGTTCTCCTCCGCACAGCCCACCCCTCTTCCTCTGGACCACAGACTCTCCGCTCCAGTTTCTGAGGAGTCGGCAGATCCCAGTGGTCCTTACGCTGAGCTAGTGGGTTGCCTCATGTACCTGATGACTTGCACTCGCCCAGATCTCGCATACCCTCTCAGCATCCTGGCTCGTTTCGTGGCCACAGGCAGACACCGACCTCAGCACTGGTCTGCTGCTAAGAGGGTTTTGCGTTATCTTGCAAGTACATCGGGCATGGGGTTAGTGCTAGGCGGACGCAGGCCAGTGGTCCTTACTGGACACACAGACGCTTCTTGGGCAGACGACGCCGAGACGCTCAGGTCTTCCCAGGGCTACTGTTTTAGCCTTGGCTCAGGTGCTGTCTCGTGGAGAGCTACCCGCTCCTCGTCTGTTGCCCAGTCCAGCTGTGAGGCTGAGATCTACGCCGGTGCCATGGCGGCACAGGAGCTCCGCTGGCTGACCTTCTTGCTCACTGACTTAGGTGAGCGCCCTAGCTCTGCCCCGGTCTTGTACGCTGACAACAGGGCCATGATCCTCCTGTGTCAGGAACCTCGACTCGAGGGTAGAGCGAAGCACATCCAGCTGCGGTACTTCCTCCTGCGCGAGCTACAGCAGCGTCGCCAGGCTCGCGTAGTACACTTGGCCTCCGGTGCCAACACAGCTGATATCTTTACGAAGGCGCTTGCGCCTAAAGATCATCAGCGGCACTGTGTACAGCTTGGTCTGGTTCCTGTAGTCCCTCACTTACTCGGGCCTTGACTTTGTACTGTCCTATATATATGTGTACACTCAGACTGGACTTGTGTCCTCTCACAGTGGTTGGACTAGTAGTGCCGCCCTGTACTTGTTCTTGTCTTGTCTGTACTCCTTCTGACTGGTCTTTTAGACCCTTGTCTCAGAGGCTGGACTAGTAGTGCCGCCCTGAGCTGCTTGTCTAGGACATTCCCCTATGCAGTCCAGGGGGTGTGTCAAACATGTAGGTATTATTGATCATGTTTGTATAGACTGTATAGGGTAACCTCCTAGAGGGTACAACATTTAGGTATATGTGCATGTACTCTCTAACTCTATCATTCATTAAAATTCTAGTTTTGAGATGAGCCCCCAGGTCTGGAGCTCGCACGTTGTGCTGTATCGGCCTCCACAGCGGAAGGGCGGACATCGGAGGGGGGTTTCATGGACAGAGCAGCGAGTTGGTGGCGGCGGCAGCGGAAACCACAGGTGGCGGGTTTGTCTGCACGGGGAGGCGAGGGGAACAGGAGCCGCCCGCACTCCGTGGCGGAAAAGGCACGGCGGCGGGCGGGCGGGGCAGCACTGGGTGTGGCGCAAACATAGTGATGTGTGGCGGCACGTGCTCGCGCGGAGCAGCCAGTGAGCACGTGACGCAAAGGCGGAAATGGCTCACCGTCCAGTGGGAGTGAGGGATACCGATAGAGAGGCTCTGAAGGTGAAAAGTTCGTAGTTTGAGGGACTGCAGCCGTTGTTGCCGCTGGGGATTGAAGGGAGCGATGGCACGCCATGGTGTGAAAGGGTTACGTTAGGTGGGATTGTTCTCGAAATGTGATAGTAATGAAGGTGTGTGACTGAGCAGCGCGGCGGAGAGCAGGGGAAGTGATGGCTGTTGAAGAGAGCACCAAGAGTCTCAGTGGTAGTAGTGCTTGGAGTGCTCGGAGAGCTCGGAGTGCTCGGAGTGCTGCTAGCACGGATGGGATGGTAGAGAACTACGAGTAGTACTCATATGGAAAATAACTTGTTGACGAAGTACTAGTACTAGTACTACTAGTAGTGCTTAGTAAGCACGCAGCGCCAGGCCTTAAGGTGGACCACTGGAGAGAGGTTTGCAGGCCGTAGGGTGGGCCGGACCGCTAAGCTCTGCGTGCTTAGTACTAGCACCATGACTGTTGCGAAGCTCGGAGTCCGTTAGGACTTTCGGAAGCTTCCTGCCCTCCTTCGCATCCACCGTCAACTGGCGTCTCGACCGTCCTTCCTTCCTCCATCGATTATCGACCGTCGGTCGTCCATCGTCGATCGCTGATCGTCGACACCACAGTGACTGTGGCGGTCGTCCCCTCCAGGCGGCCCGCGGAGGCTCGTTCGTTTGCTCCGGCTCGGAGCAGAACGTTTCGAGTCCATTCAACGCACACCACGACTCGATCGAAGCACTCAATCTCCGACCGACACGTCACGAGCTGGCACTGTGTAGCACAACGTTACGGGGACGGGAGCTGCAGCATTGCCGCGACGCTTCGCGCTGCATTCGACGCGACGCTTCGCGATGCGATGCATCCGAGCCAACAACGAGGCACGGTAGTACGCTGCTACGCTGCCATAACAGAAAGGGGTTTCAGCTCCGGAAGCTCGAGAATGATACGGAATTTGCTAGATCTGCGAACGTCGGATGCAGTGTGGTAGGGAACGGGAAGCTCTAGCGAGAATGACGATGGCGTTCCACGCGCAGATAAATGCTGAATGTGAGAACTCCAGCATTGCTTGGAGTGAAAATGCTTCTACAGTACGATGCGGGTGTTTCGCACTGCTGACAGATCGAGAGAGATTACGATGCTACGATCAAATGATCCTAAAAGGAGGATACGTTCTGCAGCTACAGAAACTCGAACCGTGAAGGGGGAGCCATAGAAATGGCTCACTGGCAGAGCAAGTGGTAAGGGCATGTGGCAAGTAGAAGTCGAAATGATGGGACTGGACCGTTGGTCAGGTACAACGCGGTAAAGTGTGATTTTGTTTGTTTCAAAACAATTGTTGAGAGGTACAGAAGTAAACGACCAGACGATGGGAGCGGAGGGATGAGATAGAATGGCTCACAAGATACTATATTGCACTCAACCGTACTGAAGATAATCGAAATACTTCGATGTGCGAGATTCAGGGGTTGAGATAGCAGGGGAAGAGGTGGTGGTTTGAGGATGGCAGAATCGGGGGCCTCGTAAGGCGTGTCCAGACTGGATGTCGACGACATCCGTTAACATTCACCGAGGGTTACAGCACGGTTCGTTTACGTTTTCGTTACCCGATGCAGGCGTTTGTATATAACTACGATCGGTTCTCCCGCATCCGTTTCCCGACGGATGTTCACATCCACTCTTGGACACGCTCCAAAATGACTCGACATTGTGCCGTCCGTCATTGAGAGGACGGCAAATAGCCGGTTCAGCTTGCCCATTTTACCGCAGCATAACAGTTAGGTGCTAAATCAATGTTGAATATCATAATAAGACTCTACGGTAAGGATTCACATTCCATTATTAGTCACTTGGTCTATATGGGTACTCATCGAACAATTGTTATCATTGCTATGCAACAAAACAAGGGGAAATTGGCAAATCTGTAGATGTTGGGGATTTCAGATTTTGCAAATATGTACACTTAATGGTAAGGGAAGAATTCTATCTGCCTATGCAACATACTCCAAAACCTCAACATATCTGACAAAGTTCACCCGCCTCGGGCTCCTCCTGGGCGAGCCCTCTTCAGGGTTACTGGTAGTGGTGGTGGTGCTAGAAGGCGCAGTGAGGCACGGCTTGACAAGCTGGGAATTCCCAGTCGCAGCCCTCCTGCTACAGCAGTCGCCGCTTGTGGTGGTGGTGGTGCTGCTGCTGCTGCAAGCCCCTGGTGAACGGGGAGAGGAAGGAGCACTGCTGGGCCTCGCACTGCTTCCCCTGCTCCCACTGCTTCCCGGCTGTCGTCCTCTCATGGCTCTCCTTCCCCGCACAAGAAATGGCATGCACCCTCTCGCGGCTGCACTCTCTTCATCGCATGATGGTGTCCTTGCTGGATGTGCAGCAGCCATTGCACGATCTGCTTGATGTAGCTCGGATTCTGTCCGAGATGATGACGCTTCCGCATGTGATCCGACCATCTGCGTGTATGGATCTGCTTGATTCGCCAGCCTGCTTCGGACCACAGTCACTGGGGTGGAATAAGCGTTACTCCTGGCGAAGACTCGAGACGTCGCGCGTTTATCATCTTCAGGAGAGAAGTTGAACGAGCTCCCAGGATTTGAGCCCGAGCGCTGGGTTGCCGCGACTTTGGAGGGGGATAACTTCGAGAGCGTGAGCTGGTGGCGGCGGCGGCGGAACGCGCAGGTGGCGGGTTTGTTCGCGCGGGGAGGCGAGGGGGACAAGATTCTTCCGCACTCGGAGGCGGAAAGGGCGCGGCGGCGGGCGGACGGCGCCGTGTTCCCGCCGCAGCGAAGGGCGGCGGAACTTCCGCATGAAGCGGCACTGGGTATCGCGTGGAGAGCTTGCGCAGAGCAGCTAGGACGCACTGGCGGGCGAGAATGCCGCGCAAACAACGCGTCCGACGCGTAAAAGTCTAGCGCGAGCTGCGGCTCGTTGACGTCAGCAGACGGATATAGATCGAGAGTCTCAAAACGTGTGTACGCGGATTGCGGAGTTGTTGGCTGTTGAAGCGAGAGACGGGCCGCCATGATGTGACAGGAAACGGGGGAAATGGGGGAACTCGTCAGAAATCGTCTAACAGTAGTAACATCACAAAAATGTGGACCTCTCCTATATTGTAGGTATAGTTGTTCGTATAGCAAGGCTACTCCGTAGCAGACGTACCTATGCCATACCTACTGTATACCTACTCCGTATTTCTGATCCTGGAATTTTGGGATGAATGTAGGCGGCTTTGTGAGGAGCAGCGCAGAGCAGGAAAATAGGCGGTTGCGGAGAGCAGTAGTACGGGTAACACCAAATGTAGAGATTGATGTCTGACAAGCAACTACGCGCAGCATTTTATGGTGGCAGTGCGAAGCTCAGGCGCTCGGATTTCTTCTCTAGTGAGCTCCGCCCACTCTCCTGGTCCTTTCCTCCGACCAAAACGCATGTCGCGTCGTCGCCACCACTGGGGGGAAGCTGATCATATCACCACGATGCAATCGACTCGAATCCATGCGAGACACGGTACGCCCACCACAGCAGAAGACTTCAAGGCCCAACCCAATAAGTTCATCGCCAGGGTGCTTTACGAAATCGAGATTTACAATCGCATGTCGAGGACGGGGGGGAGCTCCAGCGAGCACTACAGTACCGCCTTCCACGTCGGATATATCTACAAATGTGCGATGGAGAGTAACGCACGTCAACGGATCACGTGAAAAAATCAGGTGACGGAAAATCTGCCGTGAAAATGGATGTCGAGCTCGTGAAGCAACATCAAGAGCGAGATTAGGAGATGGATCTACAAAAGAATTCCTTTTCAAGCCTAGTTTGTTTTCAGACGATTGATCCAGAATCAAGCGCAAAACTTTCACGGGCGAAAGGGGGCCAATATAAAGTAGTCTGGTTACCAAGTTGGCATTTTTCAGTCTAAAGCGGGTGACCGTTGTTGTTTCTTATGCGTTCCTCGGACAGCAGTGTGGGGCCTCAGAACGTCCCGTCTGCACGTTTGGAGGTCTCAATATCAGGTGAGGTAACTGCTGGAAATCAGTGGGCCTCTGTGGGTTGAGCCGTTGCCCGTGTGTTCGAACCAATAGGCCTGTAACTAGACCCGTAGCGTCTAATGAATGAGCGATTCACTGGACTAAAGGTGTATCAGACTACTTGGCACTGTGCGATCCAATGTCCCCAATTCAGGAGGATCAAATGGTATCGAAAGGCAGATTTATTGAAATGCATACACATCATCTTGGTTACAGGAGTCGAAGTTACAATAGAACTACAAAAATACAATAAGACTTGTTCTGTTTCCCAGCCTTAGTCGCCCTGCTTATAGTCGCCCACGAAGAGAATCTGAATCGAGATCAAAAGCAATGATTGTGGCAACCCAACAATCCACCAATCAAAACACACTCAAAGATCTTAACAAATGGAAAATAGATCAATGTGAATTCTGATCTAAATCACCATAAAGGATCTCGCCTACTAGTAGAGTTATAATACAACACGTCAGATTCGGCACGCAATCCTCTTGTCATCAGTAGGCACCATATCAGACTCTCTTTGTACCCCTCCTCTACTTACTTGTCTGACAGACGTACACCGAGCTCCTCTGGTCCGTTCAACAGCTCATGCCGATCGTGCTTGTAAAACACAACCACATAATGTCTTAGACCCTCGGAATACCACACACCAGGCATTTTTGATATTTTGTTAACAGTTTTTACGACCACCGTCGATCTGAACATCCATCACACTATACCACTTCTTCACGAAAAAAAAAAAAAAAAAAAAAAAAAAAAAAAGACAGTTCCCAACCTCTCTACAAGGTCGACCCTTGTTTGTCGAATATGTGACTCGCCCTGACCACTTAGATGCAACTCTACAGACCACACTCATCGAAGGGCGAACACAATGCCTCGGCAGCTGTGCTGCCAGTGGCGTTGTATGAGTGCGAGCGACCGAGCGGCGCGGATTCTTCGTAGAGCGGCCGCTACGCCCGCTCCGCCCCTGGCAAAACAACACGCAACGCCCATACAAGGAGGGAGGGCGCCGGGCGAGTCGAATATCCTGGGCCAGGGTAGGGAGGAGGGGGGAAGGAGGGGGGGTAGGGGGAGGGGGGGAGGAGGGGGGGGGGGAGGGGGGGGAGGGGGGGCTGAATAAATACGCTGAGCTCCCACTGCGCGTATACTAGCTGTAGGTTGATTCCTAACGGTGAAACGGGCATCCGGTGGGGTACGGATTGGCAGCAAACAATCGATACGGCCCTGACAAATGGGGAGCTACGAGGGCACATCATCGCTACTTTTAATGAGAAAAGATGGGGAAAAAACCCAAGCGCCGCAGCGCGCTAGCCCGTCGAACTACATTGCGGGAGCGAGGCTCGACTTTAACTAGTATTGTCACCTTATAGTTGGATAGTTAGATATTCTCTCTAACAGATGTGCGAAATAATCGTAGCATGTGTTGCGGTTCACGTGGCTAAGCCTACTCTTGACCTGCTTCTAAGATGGGAGTTTATTTCAAGGCTTGTTTGCCGCGATATGTTTTGTGCGGTTGGGGTACGGTTGGGTGCGGTAGTGCCTGGCTGGTAGGGGTGGTTTTGTTGGGGACCATTCGACGTATAGATCAGTATTATAACCATCACCTGCATGTGGGTCATTTTATTTAGTTTTAACTGGTTAGATAACACATGTCGAGCTAACTTCTAAACCACCTACATGGACTTTGCCTCGCAATCGGTTACCCGGATTAGCAAACACCAGGTTACCACCCGATTTTCAGATGATTCGAAGCTTGCTACACGCCATGATTACATTTGTTAACGGACTTTGGGGATAATGTCGCGTTTGCCCCAGGTTTTGGTCTTTCGCGTTTTCGTTGCAGGACGCGTTACAGATTCTGGTATTACAAAGCTAGATGAGGTGTACAATACAGTATGTACGCACTGGGCAAGAGCCAAGGGGGGGTATGGTATGGAGTTGAAGGGATACCGCGCGATATCACGCTGTACCACAATAAAGGCCAAAACAACGCCTTGTAGATCTTATCCGAATTTGATCTGCCCACAAAACAAAGCAGCCCTCTGGGGCTGTGTGTGCGAGTCGGGTTCTCCAAGGCTTGAGCTTGTCGCGGGCGAAAATCGGGTGGGCAAGTCCCCGATCTGCGAGGACGGGACGGGAGGAATTGATGGGTTTAACCAATCGCAGTGAAGCTTTCC